AACTTTCGTTTTTATGCTGCTTAAGAAACAAGACAAAGTCAGGGCTTATCCACTTACGTGATAAGGAGACAAAATTTGTGGGGGATGGGGGTCGCCTGACACCGCATTTTTCTCACCACGATGTTGTACCCCGTATAGAAGCGCCCTACCGACCTGGTTCATAGCATTCAAGTTCAATGTGGCATCTTCTTCGGATTGTCCTCCTGAAAGGAATACCACACCCGGAACAGCTGGTGGTACTGATCGCAGTAATGCAGTGACGGTAGCGAGAGCAACGTCCTCTGGTTTTGGTTTAGGACCGTCGAAATTCTGCCCTTAAAAAGCAATCGTTCCCGTCATTAGACGATGGCAGTTCTCCTAAGTAGCTGCTTTACCTGCTGTGACCATATTGGGCTTCAGGAGAGTTCCTTCTAGGTACACATGGTGATCGTTTAGCGCTCTGAAATAGTAGCAGGCTTCCGATAAAGTAGGTGAAAAGCTACATTAGTCACTAATACCGGTAGCAGTAGGACAGCACGATTTCTGTAGTCCTCCGACAGGTGTCTAGGTCATGTGGGCCATCGGGAAGGATCTCTGGTTCGACAATTGGCACCAGACCATTTTGTTGGCATATTGAAGCGTAACGAGCAAGAACCTGAAGGTAGTTGGTTTTCCTGAGAGTACTTGGTAGCAAGGATTCCGATTGAAGGACATCTACCGATCTAGGGACCTTGAAAGTAGGAACACCATGAATTTACTATGGACGGGTAGAGCCTTCCACAGGTCGTTTTATGCGAAATGGTCCTTCCAGAAAATTGGTCAGTTAAGAGTGACCTTATCGAGAGGATCGAGCAAAATGTAGCAGCAGCCCTTGCAGTGGGTATCCTTTTGTCTACTGCTGAAAATGAATGCAGAGCTAAATTCGTGAGGACTGATGTGCCAATGACAGAAGGGGTGTGAAACCCGCTAAATGTAACCCTTTATGTGCCCCTTGTTTTGGTTTCTTTATAGTCATTTTCACTGCTGACGCTGTGGCGTGTCTGGAGGCTAGGTTTGGCTCCAGCCTCGTTCTCCACCAGCTTGTTGTCACTTGCACGATGGTGAAGAACGGGGCTGGTGCCGTCCCAAACCACACCCCTCCCCCCCCCCCCTAAAACGTCCCAGCGTCTGCAGCGGAAACGACTGTACCCTCTCGTGCCGTTCTTTGAGGGCGTAGCTGCAGTTCTATGAGGCCTTCTTTAGTCCCTATGGCAGCATGTTGTAATAGCCGAAGATGCAGCACAGCGACTCCATAATCCCTTTCGCTCTACACCAGGGCTTGTTAGGAAGCTCAGGCTTAACCTTAGTGAAACTATATGCTCTCTCGTGGCAAAACGACATTCCTGAAGGCGCTCTGGTCGCCTGCGCCTGGGAAGGGAAGCAGGGTCTCCCGCGCGGTTCCCCTTTCCACCGAACTATGTACGGCTAGCTTCTGGAAACGGAACAGCCGAAACTGGAGGCCGATCTGAGTTGGCGAATCAGGAGCCTGAGACGTGGTGCGACAGGTTCGGCTGATATGCACCCTCGTCGTTGCGCAACAGGGTTAAATGTTCACTTCCTCTGGCTTAGCCTGAAAGAGCACATCAAATAATTTGGTTGGCATGGTCTTTGTGCCTGGCTGTGGTGGTCCTTGCTTTTGTCCAGACTTCAACATCTCTTAGGGGCATGTGTGTCGAAGCTGCTAAGATTTCCAGTACCGATGCAATCTCCACTAAAGCCATATGAGACGGTGTGTTGTAAGAGATCTTGTGTACACAACGCCACTTCGCGAACTGAGCACCATCCTGAAAACATCTGTTCAATTTACGCTGAAGCTTTTGAACCTTTACATGGTACCAAGTAAGCCCTCTACAACGACTAAGCCGATGAAAAGCCCTTACCTTCTTTCGTACTTGAGCACAAACGTGCCATTCAAATGCATCACATTCGCTTGTGTGGTTCTTCAGCCAAATGTGCTGCCATCTCCGATAACGCTTTTGTCCAGGCTGAAATGAGCTCGAATTTCTGGCATCTATTGGGCCGTTTGGGTAGTTATCGCTTGTCCCAGCTGGCGCAGTTTCATCCCTGGAGCTGATCGACGCAACCAATTTCGCGGCGCAAAAGGTTTCGATAAGAAAGTCAGGGCTCTGTCACAGAGGGTAAACCACGCCCCGGTGTAGCTCTCCATTTTGATCTTCCATTTTACCAGCACTACAAAGCGGTGGGTTCTCGATCGACCCCCCCCACTGACAGTTTCTCTTGTTCCCCTTGGTATCTCTACGCGCCTACACGTAATGCTGAACAACTACTTGTGGGGGGGGGGGGCTCAATTCAAGCCCGCTTTACGTAAGCTCTCATCATTGTTTCAATGCCTTTCTTTTTGGATGACGTAGGCCCAATTAACTTTTCATTCAAATCCCTCCATTTAGCCACCACTCGAATAACGGGAACACCTCCAGACCGGCAAGACGCATGCACATCTGTCCCAAAAACGAGATGGTCACCGCCGCCCTACGTTTTGCAGTGACATGCCAATCCCTTTCTCAGAGTGAGCGGGACATAATTTGTCACGTCATCGCGCGCGGCGATGCGCGAAATATTCCCGATGTGATTGGTTTGCAGATTTGAGCAGCAAACCCTCACATACATCCGATCGGGGACCAGACCGCATAACGGGCGATATTGAATTTTCATGTCCCTTCAACAGTGAAACCAAAATGGCCGGGCACGAATAACTCGTCCGCCAGGCGCGGCGTCGTTCGCTACGCCTACCAGTCCTTTTGAAAGCCTCCGAATGGGTATGCACTCTACTTCGCTGCGGGACGGTTGGGCGTGTCAGCCAGTATGAGTGTGCACAGCGTCAAGGCCGTTCTCTGCCTTCTCGTTTAAGCGCACATGCGACCCAAAAAAGTGTCGAAAACGAGTATACGGATCGTATAGATACAGTCATATCATCTTTGGTTCGTGTTTAAAAACTGGGTAGATAAAGGGTTTGGCACCGGCGCGCCCCAAACGCAGAGCCGCACGACACGCCCGCAACCATCCGCAGAGCAACTATACTATACACTGCTGGTTCGCTGCGGACGTTTGGGCGGTGTCAGGCAGTATGAGTGTGTCACCCCATCAAAGCCGTTCGCTATCTTCTTGTTGAAGCGCGCATGCGGCAAAAAGTGGTAGAAAACGGAGTGATACAAATGATATGATACAGTGCATTTGATTTGCATTCATTTGCTCTCATTAATGCGAACAGGTGTGAGCGAATGATATTGACGGGTTTGGCACCGCGCCAAACTCATCCTCCCTGACACGCCCAACCGTCTGCAGCGAACTACACTGAATGCGCCATTCTCCTAATCACAATCGATTTCGTTCACGAGATATGCCGGATACCACCCCATTATTTCGAACACTATCTCGGTGCAAGGACGCAGACATGACGCGTGAGCTCACCTTCGCCCTCTCCAACCATCTTTCTTTCACGGAACTCACCTTGATTCCAGGTATAATACCCTGTTTCTTGAGTGCGTCGACGAAACGTGTCCCGTCGTCACATTTTTGATAGAACGTCTCATGGAACATTAATCACGCCGGAGATATACTTATTGAAGATCCGGATTGCCAGTGAAAAGTAGCTGAAACAATCGATATTGACATTTTTTGGATTGATGGCCAGCTGGAGTCGTTCTATACCTGTCTATATTTGCGCCGTTGTTCCTCGGTGTTCTCTGTCCCAATGTTCTTCATCTTCTTTTCCATACTTCCAGTAGATTCGTCGGCAGCTGAAAGTGAACTTTGAGGTGCTGGAGAAGGCTGTTTGGACGATATTTGTCACCTAGAATTCCTTTTCCTGGGGCTACGATAGCATTTGCGATTTGACGAAGTTCATCTTCTTTCTCTTTGGTGAGATACTGCGAGTAGGAGGCCATTCCTCGAGCACGGGCAATGCGAAATGAGTCGTAGCGATGACTTGGTAATGATACCATATCGCTGATATCTCATCGATTGATCCCTCTAACTATCGATTGTTTCATTCTTTATCATTCGCAGAGCTGTGCAATTCTTACTACAAGTCTTAGCGATGTCTTGGCGATTACCAAGTTTCCGCAAGCGGGGTGTAGTGCAGTACTCCCTAGTCGTGGGGAAATACAGGGGAGCCAAGAAAAGGCACTTTTCACCTCGACTTCTGAGGTATAACGCACTTTATCGAATTCTGATTGGACATTTCCACCATCGAATTCGTCAGCACATTGTACACGATTACGAAACTCCGTCACAGTCTTCTGGACGGACACCATCGAGAGATTCTGCCATGCGACCGTGATTGTGGCATGAGTTTAGCGGTTCGCTGGTTTCGCCTTTGTAGGCACACTACTCGGAGCGCGCCCGGATCCTTTGAATCGAGAATGAGTTTGAGTCAGGTGGCAACTTGATATTCCATCTTCGCTAGGTACTCGACTCCCCTATTACATTCCAATGGCGAGGGTTTCCAATGCAGCTCCCGATTCCATGTGCTGGCAACCCAATCCTGTAGCAGTAGCGAAGTTTCCGAAGATGGTACAGACGACGGTAGGATATCTCCTGAGCTGTCCCTAGTCAGGCGTGGCAATAACGTCAACCGATAACCCGCCCTTGGCAACTGCAGAGAAGATGTATATCCTGGACCGTAGCGGACGTTGCGAAGCTGCTCGACATGGACGCAGTGGGCTATCCTTGTGCTAAAGTTTTTCATCAACAATCTCCAGTAGGAGCGCTGAAGCCGGGGTCACTCAGTTGGCTCCGCCCGCGTCTACTCCGCGCGCGTCTCTGGTTGGCATGCTCTCTCGATCTTATCTGGCGCCTCGCTCAAAATCCCCATCAATTCTTCACGTCCCGCTGAAACCCAGAGGAGCTTATTTCGCTGACTTCCTGGTCGCTTCTCTTCTGCTTTTCATCTGCAATTCAAACTAGCACTGTACCTCCGTTTGTTGTAAACCCGCTACTCAAACTGTTCTCCGGCTCAGCGCGACATATGGAACCGCCCTAATGGTAAGGCGGGACAAGTCAATACTTTCTGCGCTCAGCCCGTCATTGTAAGAGCGATACAGGAGAGAGCCACAATAGCTGTATCTTACGTTGACTGCACAACCATAGACGCTGCATGATCGCGCTCTGAAGTTTCTACCTGTAAATGTAGCAGTTTCATTTCAGTGGTGCCACTCTTCACTTCAGTACTTACTGTTGCGATCGATACTTGGAGAATCGTCCAAAATGAGCCGTGCAATGCGGACTCTAGTCGCTTCATACAGTAAAGTTCATTAAATTGATTATAAAATGCCTTTTGCTGTGACCGCGCCGTGCACTTGCTTCACGATCACTCAAAGATGTAGTTTGATGGAATCTATTCCGCATGCATGAGCGTAGGCCATTTGTAATCGAAAACTTCCTGACCACGGCATGCGCTAGAAAATAGTGGGAGGCACACGCACCACTGTCTGCGCTCATAGCATTGATATGCGTCTGCGGATGCTGTGCAAGGCCATGGGCGAACCACCAAAGAAATTCATAAATGGGTGAGAGTCTCCGCCTATTCTCCGTTAATGGTGGAAGTGTGCCTCGCATTTGCTCCTAACCAAAAACGTAATGTGGATGAACAAATACACTTGGCTTGCATCGGCATCCTTTCCGATCTCACACACATCCTTACGCTAACACTGTCTTAGCGGAACTGTAATGCTTCTGAATTAACGCTTCCCATCCTAAGCCACCTTTATCAATTAATTATGCCTCAGACAACCATTTTAAACTATTTTAATATTTCTATTTCGTATAAGACAACACGACGACATTCTTCATTTACACTTCAATACTACTTGCTATTCACAATACATCATCAACACGTGGGCGCGGTGAACTTCGGCTCGAGAATCTTGCTGTGTTTTCCTAAATTTCGATCGAGATCATAGCGGATTTGCCACAAACAGAGACTGTGAAGCAGCTTTGTCAGCGTTTGCATCGCCAGTGTATTTCCCAAGAGAAGCCAATGAGTTTGCCTGCGCTCTCTGCATGAAGCACGCGACCGCCTGAATATATGTTGTACACAGTTGGTACCGATAATATTGGTAAATATCTCGAAATCCGACTAATAGATCGGACTAGCCGTGGCTGCGTATTGATTTAGCAATGCGTCGGCCGCAGGTTTTGTGAGATATTGTCAACTTCGGAGCAGTCGTAATCATGTATCATATCGGGCAGGCAGAACAAGTTAGAAAGCTGTTCAAATTGAAGCATCATACGAGAAACCCGTCCTGTGCCATGCTCAAAAGCCACGCTTACTCCGTCTCAAGGATAACGAGTGTAGGTCCAGACTGAACAAAGACTCGTAGAATTGGAAATTACGCGCTCACGCAATATGCTGTGTTCCGCAGCAAAAAAAACGTGCTCAAAGAACCTGAACGGCAACAGTCCACGCGCGTAATTCACAAAGGGCCAAAAAAAAATCTTTTCCTCCATGACTTTCAAGGCGCTATAAGTTACACTTTATTAAATTTTTATCGGACATTTTAATACCATATTAAAGAGCGCATTAAATACTATAATGATACTCCGCCACAGCCTTCTGGAGGAGCGCCATCGAGAGAGATTCGCCGCGCGAAAGTGAGTGGGTACCGGAGTTGAGCGAGATCGTTGATTTCTCCGCCACTGTAGACCACCCTGTTGAGCTCCGCCCGAACTAGGTAATTGAGTGGGTTCAGGTCAGGGGACATATTTCAATATTACATCTTCATCAGGTACGAAACGCCCTTCCATTCGAAGTAGGCGGGAGTTTCCAAAACCCTTCGATTCCATGTGGTGGCACCCAAACCTGTAGCAGCACAAGGTCTCCAAGAAGGTACGGGCGACCACATGTAGGGAGGATATCCTTCTCGATACTTGATTAACCGCCAGCGCTCACCTTCAGTCGGGGTCTACAGAAAAATATGGTCATCCATTCGCAAGGTAACGGCCGGTTCCACCACCATCACCAAGCCGCCCGTTGGTGAATGGGGTGAAAGATGATGTCCTTTGAGCGCGTAGCGCGTTGCCGAGCTGCCTGCGATGTTTTGAGGTCTTTGCAGATTAAGAGTAACTGGTCTCCAGGTAGCTATCCATGGGTGATTCCATTCAAGAAGTTCCGCAGCTGTTTGGAGGCCACGTGAATTCCAAAGGCGTTCTCCACTCAGGCCGCGACTGGAGATGACTTCATATTTTGGTGTACATGAAGGTAAATGGCGGCAGCCGCGGCACCTGCTTAATAGAGGAAAGACTTGGTATCTCGCGCCCTGGACTCATATGCCACTTCCTCTGTCTGCTGGCGAAACATCTCGCTCCTTATGTGACTCGCGAATGACTTTTTTTTTGGCCCCATCCCTGTATTGTGACAAGTGCCGCTATTCGTGCCTTACATATAGGTAGCTCCCCCCTCCCTACCCCCGCTTCACGATTTCAGAATAATGGCAGCTAACGAAGAACGCACGAATCGCTAACAATCCCAATCTCACGTCTATAATATGCTTGAACTGTGCATTCCACAGAGCTTATGGGACTGCGATCCCCACTCACCACCATTACGTCTGCACGTCCGCAAAAGAATGCGTCAGTGGTCGGTGGATAGTGAGGGCTGGCTATTGTTGTTGCTCCACACCCGATAGCGATATCGCAGTTAACTCGTCCAATCAACCTTTATGTTAGCCGTGACCTCTTTCAACACTCGCTATTAACGTCCACAATGAGGGCGTATATATTGCCGGTTTTGGACCTTTACTTTCGGTTTTTGGGGCGGAGGTGGTGTAGTGACAAGTGGCGCAATTACCACTCGCGCGGCGCCGGGTTCAAGTCCCGGGTCGACTCCCGCCCTGGCCAACCAAATCTTCTAACTTCCGGGACTAGTACCAATTGGTGTGTAGGATAAAAACACTCGAGATTTGGACTGGCTGGCTCACCGCAAGTCTAGGCCACATCGCATTCAATAAGCCACTACGATTCTGAATGGAAGTAGAATGCGTGCCGCATCCCACAAAGGGATTGATCAACGGCGAAGACTTTATCCTTTATCCTTATCCTTTACTTTTCGGTTTCTTCTTCTGCGCTGCACTCTGGCACCTCTGCTTTCATTTCTAACCACGGAAGAATCATCGTAAATATCCCATAAAGACCCCTATGCTGAACCGCGCAGGTACGTGCATTAGGCGAGAGCGAGCGTTATCGGATAGGTTCTCAGCTATTTTCTGTTATGATCTTACTCTCATGGCAACAGAGAGAGAAGAGAGAAGTAGAACAACCAGACCACGAGGAAGTGTTGAGAAGTGGGAGACAGATGCTGTGCTCGGGCAGTGGGCGGGGGCATTGCTTCGCTTGGCAGCGGGTCCGCTCTCCTACATCGTATTTTTGGGGCTTGCGAAAAATGGTACATTCTCTTAGCTTGCGAACAGGACTCTTTTGTCCAAAAAAGCGATTACGCATCAGATGCAGGCGGAGCGTGCCTTTGAACTACCCTCAGTTCGCGATTGAGCGTCATGGATGATAGCTGCCCATTATGAACCAGTGGCTAAAAAATCCCCAAAGAAGAAGAAAAAGCAAGAGGAATCTTCAAGGGCACCATTACCAAAATCGCTCCCTTCGCAGTCGTCGACTGTCTTAGAGAGGGGGGGAGTTTACTGTTTGTGTTTTGTGCTGAAATTGTTGGCAGAGGAGCATCCTATTTTAACCTGAGCATGCCTGACATCTCGTCCTTTCCGCCCCATTTTGACATGGCTGATGCCTGTAGAGCTCGACCATATGAGAATGTAAGTGCCCATGGTTTCTTCGTGTCAATCTGAAATTCCGCTTATTTCAAATCGCAATACTTCTCATGTCGTGTTGTTCGACAGGCAAGACGAGACAGTGCCCCCCACAGAAGGAAACCACAGGTCGTAATCTCAAGATTTGGGGGCAAGGGTTGTTCTAGTGCTATGAAGTACAGTCCTCATCATTGCGGACTGTCGGGTCGCAATCAGCGGTTCCCACCTGCGGCCTTCCCACCAGTGGCTGATTCCTTCCTACATCGATCATTGCTCGATCACCATTGGTGGAGCAAGGCAGCCGAGACGCGAGCTCGCGCCGCGCTGCGCTCGCCGCCCCGACAAATTCAAATGTTACAAACTATATATCAGATGCCTTGCGCCAATAGCACTCTATGGAGGTAGTTCTCGAAGCGGCGTGTCTCTTTCCCACGATGCGTCGCGCGGAGTTACTGCTCTGAACTCGATCATGGCTTGTGAAGAGCCTAGAAGGGAACAAAGAAGGAGACGGAATATTTCCCGTGTTCCTGCACTTTTTTGCTCTCTGATGCTGCACTTGAAATTCGTTCGCGACCACCATCTGGAAAGCAAAGGCGTTGGGGAACATTTCCCGAAATGCGGCCCCCGGAGTTCCACTAACGGGAGATATGGCGCACTTGTTACGGGGAAAGTCATTTAACAATCAAGAACTTTTGAACTTCCATATGCCATTCTCGACACATTTCGGCTTGGGAGGAACATTTTGCACTTTCGGCAATTCCTCTGGCGATTACATGTCATACCTTGTTGAGACGTGTAGACTCTTGTTGAGTGTCACTAGCCCGTGCTAATTGTATACCGTACGGGCAGCAGCATTAGTTGGCGATCTTTTGTTCGAGCCCTCAACCCCCCCCTTTTTGGAGTGGAACGACCGCCCTCCCCAGCCGTTCTGTTCTTGTTCCTCATCGAATCGAGCCGTCGAGCGGGGGGGGGGCATATAGTACGTGAAACAGGAAAATCACCAAAAGTCAACCGCCACTCCCACAACGCCAAAACGTAAATACGACCCCCCTCCCTTTACAACGTCCATGAAGCGAGAAAAATCAACTATCAAAATAAATTTTCTCTCAGCCCAAATACGACGCCCCGACCCCCCTATTGGGGATTCCCAACAACGATGTGCCCTGATGCCGTAACCGCAATTTACGAGTCTACACAAGAGGCATCGGCAAAGATCGACGGGAACCAGCAAAGTGTGAAAACCAAGCCAAACTGCGCTCGATCATTTTCCTCCCGGCCCCCAAAAACGAACCCCTCCCAGTGCGATGGCGATTTCCTGATGTATGACTTGCCATGAGCTCAGCATGTACCTGTTTCTCTGAACCTACCTTATTCATGGCATTTAGATTAAGGGTGGCGTCCTCCTCGGATTGACCTCCAGAAAGGAACACTATTCCGGGAACAGCAGCCGGTACTGATCGTTGTAGAGCTGTTATGGTAGCCAGACCGATTTCTTCGTGTGTTGGTTTCTTGCCTTTGAAGGCCTGTCCTGAAATGTTCGGAGATTCTAGGGGGATATTCGTCAGCGGCTAATGTTGATTCACCCACCCGCTGTTACCATATTTGGCTTCAGTAGTGTCCCTTCAAGGTAGACGTGATGGTCATTGAGGGCTCTAAAAGACGCGTAAAATCGATATTCTAAGAGAATGCGGGAATTCAAATGAATGTTGAAATCAGAACCTGTAGCAATAAGAAAGGACAGTCTCGGTGATCTTTCGGCATCTATCTATATCATGTTCGCCATCCGGCAGAATCTCAGGCTCAACGATCGGTACCAATCCGTTCTGCTGGCAGATAGACGCGTAGCGAGCGAGTACCTATAAATAATGCTCATTAGCGAGCGGCTATCTTGCGATTACCAAGAGGTCTGACATGGCTGCCTTGCGCTAAGCAGACCTCAATGGAGACCTAGAAGTGCCTGATTCAAAAGCTAACCTCGGCTATCTCGACCAGAGCCATATGAGAAGGTGTAGTGGTGGAAATCTTGTGTACGCAACGCCATTTGGCGAACTGAGCACCATCCTGTAATCAAAGTCTAAGTTGGAAATTCTTTCAGACCGAGAACTGCTTGAGTTCAGAGGTGAAGTCGTTGAGGAGGACTAACCCATACAACCCTTACGAGCAAGATGGGTGCAGACCTACGGGGTTTCGTTACAGCCAAACACTCTTGATCGCTTGGTAAGGGCACTCAGCTAAGCTTGTACAGGTTGCCTGTACACACACGCTTGGTAACACATCACAAGAGAGGGCAGTTCAGCGATGAGGGGGGGGGTATTTTACACTAGCTACTTTCCATCAACGTGTCCACCCATTTAGAGAGCCTTTTCTGAACGTGACAGGTTTTACCATGGTGGCTCGACGAGCTTGCTCCAGCTTCACAAGAGTTCACAGGTTCACCAGAGTGAGACTTGTAAACCGGAACTAGTGAAGCAGCGAAAGTGCAAAATGCCCCCCCCCTCTGTCACGAAGTAGCCCCACAAGAGTTCACCTGTTGGTTAACAAAAACTATCAGGAGAAAAGCGAAAACGCGATCTTAAGCGCCCCCCCGGGCCGAGTAGCGCCCCACACTGATCAGACTCACTACTGCTGCTGGCGATCGGCACCCACGGGTGGTGTTGCCCACACCCACTTGTGCCGGGACCAAGCCGATTCATTGTGAAAGCGATAGAGCGAGCAGGGAGAACTATACAGCTAGGAGATGCTGCCTACGCCAAGCTGGTTTTTAAGTGACGGCGTAACTCGGAACTACTGACTTTGAACCACGTATTTAGACCTCTAGAACCTCTACGAAACTATCAACCGCCTACTTTTTTTTGCCCCCGTCAAGTCTCAAAGAACAGTTGTCCTGGGATGGGTACACAGCTCGAGACGCAAGCAACCTACCTGCCGTTTTCGTCATCAATATCAATATCCAGCTCAGCGCTACTGGGTCGCCTATTGAGCAGCTCACTAATCCAAACTGATTAGCCCATCTGGCGCTTTTTGCCATGAGGGGGGGGGGGGGCTTTTGCACTTTCCACTAGTTCGCTAGTTCTTTACTAGCTCATATTAATCAACACATCTTATTTTGGGACCTGTGATTGTAAAGTAGTAATATGGTACAAGAGCTACTTTGTTGGCAAGAATTTACAAGTCCAAACAAAGTGGGTTTTTCATAGGCTAACATAAGCTGAGTACCATTTGTTGCCCCCACCAATCCAAACCCTATTTGTGAATGTCCCAATCGCTGTTCCGAATAATCAGAAACTGGAAGCACTAGATGCGGATTGATGTTTGTAGGATGGGGTACTACGTAAGCGGTTAATGGGCGCAGCACGTAAGCTAAATGGCCACCGAGGCTAAGAACTCGATTCTGGACGAAAACTCAGAGTGAACTATGAAATACGAAAACTAAGCTAATCACCTTTTTGTATTGAGCACAACGAGCATTGAGATCGTCCATTCCTTGAGTGGTACCTTCTCCGACGGTACCCGCCATAGGCACCACACCTTTGTCTACCTGAAATTTTGCAGTGGTGCCTTTGAGACTCCTTCTATTATGTTTTTTCAGCATAATTCTTCTCTACTATATCTTATGTGCGCTCCTCACCGTTAGTTGAGCAATGGTAATTTTTCGAATATTCAATAGTCCCTTCTTTCTTGGAGGCAGTTGGCACGATAAATCCCAGGATTGATACGCCTGGGAGGATGGGATTCCGCGCCCCTGAGCAGGCGCTGCGTAGCGCTTTTTCCAAGGAAGGTACCCTTATAAGGCCTATCAAGCTGCAACATACCGACCCGGACGCCCACCGCGCCCGCCCGCCCACAAATGGACGACCGTACCTGATGCTCGTATTGCTTCATTTGTGAAGTAAAATATGAAGCGAAGGGATTGATATGAAGCGGCTGCGATGCTGCATGGATATATAAGTACATACTACAGCCGTGTCTGTCGTAGTTGTCACTGGCAAGATGCCCACGGAAAACACGTCCAAAGTGCTTTTTGAGTCATTACGAACGATCGCTTTTCTTCACAGGTTATTCACGGTTTTAATTCATTTTCGGCAACTTCTCCCATTATATAGCAACCTGATAGCATTTTAGACGAGTGCCAAATTATTCTGCTTACCAGTCGGATCGCCCGGCTGACGCCGAGCTCTCCTCCTTCTCTTCAGCTCGGCTTCGCCGAGCTGGCCAGGCTTCGCCAGGCGCGCTCTATATAATGAGAAATGGAACTCTTTCAATCACTGGGCTGCTCATACGGCGCTGTAGTGGTCGAATAATAACAGATACAGCAACCCTGCGGATCATGCACTCCTTAGCAAACGCTTATACTTGCGGTCCGCGCCATA